CATTTTGATAAAATTATTTTAATACGCTAACCTGAAATTATCAGAATGAACTAAAATTAAACATATTTTAATTAATTTAAATATGCTAAACACGTATCAAATGTAGAGGCTGCTATGGACGATTAAGATAAATTACGTTTAATGCCGCGCTGATTTGCAAGTACATTTTAACCCTGTAAATGTTACAGTATGCTATGAATCCTTCAGGTCGAATTTCAGCCGACAGGTGTTCGTAAGCACAGAGTGGAGGCAGTGTATCAGTTATCCCGTAAGATATCTTATAAATTAATCTGTTAAGTTCACTGCTGAAATAGTGATTTTGTGGTACTTGTCTGAAATTAATTTATCTAAATCAAACAAGTAGGTGAATTTTTCAGTGCAGGGTGATGTGCTTCATTGAGATCTTTCTTTAAAGGCTTGCGAGCAGTTTGGTATACTTCGTTAAATTGGAATGTATCTGTGGGGTTACATGTGGACTTTTATCCAAAGATAGGCCTTTAGACTAAGGAAAATATTTCTGCCGTGATTGTAACTGTAGAGTTATCGGTATCGCGATTATCTTCGACCATGATTCGGCAGTCGACGATTTAGATTATATTCGATGAAATCAACTCGTTTAGTTTTTGTTTTTAAAGTTATCGATGATGCATTTAGAGTTTGCTTTTAAATACTTGTTTTATTTCTGAAGGTGTCGACACGAAGAATATATGATAGTCGTGGATTTTGCGTTATTATGCGAACATTGAAGGTAGTTTCACTTCTCTTATCGAAAGTTCCTTCTTAGGGCTAATGCTTTAAACACCGATCGTTAGATGACACAATGAGAAATCACATGTTGTGAGCAGTACTGCCAAATATATTCTCTGTAGCACTGATATTATAAGGGTCACATCTGTCCCGAAGCTGTCGACTACGCCTTGTTGAACATCTGAAGCATGGTAAAATTGCTCGTCGGTTGTGCAGGTCCAATGCCAGTAACTTTTGGCTGTTTGTGCGAATCGTTCATCTCAGTACCCTTTATGTTATTAGTGTTGTATGTTGGTTGGGCTATGTCGGTTTTGTTCACAGTTTTATTATACCGATGAAAGGGGCACTAGATTGCGTGGTCTGTCGGCATAGCTCTATGACCAAAGGGTGATATTCATTGTATTGTGAGTGGAGTCTAAGTATAAAGTTTTTACAACGGTTTTCAACCATTAACAGTCGTTGAATCCTGTCGCGTGTGTACGATTGATGTCCCCTTCATTTCGCAATGTATTACTCATATAACATTTCAGCCGCGTTTCTTTTTTAGACCGCTAGGAAATCCATGAACGATGGATAACGACGTATCGGCAGCAAAAAAGTGCTTCACCATCATTGATTACGTGGTGTTCGGCGTGTCCTTGCTTTTGTCAGTATCTGTTGGTGTGTTTTACGGTTTCAGGAAGAAGGATGAAACAAGTCGTGAAATTCTGTTGGGCAAACGGTACTACTTTTTATATCAATCAAATCTAGCTCTTATTGACAAATATTAAAACTGTATTAAACTCATGACAAACATAATTCACCATCCAATATTCTTTTTTCCCTTTATACATTTATCCGTCGGTCTCCATCTGTCTCTGCTTCTATAATGGTATGTCCATGTGTTTGTCTGTCTATCGGTATCTGTGTACCGAAACCATCTGCCTCTCTTCATCTAGAAGGTTCATTGCTTGAAGATTTTTTACTGCTTAAACAGGGTGTTGTATAAAACAATTATTTTACATTAGATAAGGTTAAATACTGCTTTATACCTGCATCATTGTTTCTGAGGATAAGCGCAGAAGCTGAATTAATTGACTTTATGTACAGTTCTGTTGACAGATATGCTGGCATGTCTGAAACGGGTTGGCGCCCTCGACGACGGTACTGGATGCAAGGCTAGGATATAGAATGGTTACAGTTACTCACTGCATTGTTCCTCATACGAATACCCTGTACAGGTGCCGAATCAGCAAACCTTGATCTTCCCAGAACTTGGATTTCGCGTACTGCTATTCCCAAAAACAGTGCTAGCTTTCCATAAGTCGAGAAAAATAAGGCACATTCTTGATTCATGCAGCTTTTTTATATCTTTCGCATAGGATGATTATTATATACGGCGATCTGCTAATATTGATCCAAAGTAACTGACGTGTTACGATTGTACAGCCAGGTCGTATGCATGTTTTAAAGTTCTTTCACTGAATTCATCTTGCGCAAATCAATCTTTCTGCCTGTCCATCTGTCTGTCAGTATGCTAGTCAATCTATCCGATCGTCTATGTGTCTATTTGACCGTCTATTCACGTTTGCATACCGTTCAATTATTTTTCAAATTGCGAGGCTGCCAGATTTTCGGATCATTTCTACAAGTATTACGGCCCTCTGCAGATTCAGCTAGCAGAATGCTGTCATGTTTGAATTTCAAGGTGTCATAATATCAGACATGCAATAGTAACAGAGCCAACTCTTAGTCGTTTGCATACGTCATTGCGAAGAGTTTGTCTCTCAAGTCTTCCCTTCTCTCATTATAGCTGCATGGTCACAACATGGCAATTGTAATATCTCGATTTGGAGAAGCGGTCACTCCAAGAAAGCAAGAGTATCTTGGATTGCTATGATACTAGATTCATGGACTGTGCTTGTTCGT